TTTTTTTTACGTTTCCAGAGATTGGCATACATGTCTCTTCTTGTCGCGTATCTTTTTTCCAAACCTGGGTGCTGTTTCTCGACTATTCGCTAAAAACGGGTTCAAATAATTACTAGAAAATATTTGTTCGAGTATTCCGCACGATGCGCTCTCGGAAGCTGGAGCAGGCTTGTGACATGTGGTTATGTGGTAGGTAATGAACATTTCGCAAACTGAGTCGTGGAGAAAGCGAATGGAAGGAGCAACTTTGACTTTTCGAACTCCCTGACCAGCAAATTCCACTTTGCTTTCCTCCCCAAAAACGATTTTCAGCTTAATCTTCTTCCGAAACCTGCTGCTGCTTTTTGAAAAGAATCAGGTTTCTGTACCAAAACACTGTGTGATGAGTGGCACAGCTTCTAGCTTGCAGAATTACACAACGCACATCTTCTAGATATCTCTACATTTCTGCGATACAATCTCGATAAGAGCATGAGACTGAGATTGCAAGAATAATTATAGGGTACCAAAGAAATAGGCCTGGATATTTCAACGAGTCTTTAGAACCTAGAAACTATTTGTATCTGCGCGGAATTACAGTATGTATTCATACTAACGAAAGTCTCAAAAGAGATAGTTGGTGTTTTTTGATAAAGAATGGTTTTCGCAATTCTTTATATTTACTTAGCCGTCAATGAAGATTGGTTTGCAATTAGTGATTTGATGAATTACCGGTACAGACCTACGAACGCTAGCAAGCAGAAACTTCAGTCGCGAGAGAAGAGTTTTATTGTAAACAGAAGTTGAATCTACCTTATACAATCTATACTCATTTGCAATGGGTTTAGCTGCGAATTCCTTCCTAAAATAGAAGAGTTTATTAGATGTAGGTTTAGTATCAACTAGATTAGACTTCCTATAATGTATTCACAAGTCTTGTAGGATTTTCGCAACTCCTACGAAATTGAAAGATTATTGTTACTAAACATACGCATGCAACAAAATTTTCAAAGTTTCAAAATTCTAGGAAAGCGACAAAACTACAAGCATTGGAAAAATGGTTGTTCGTCAATTGAGTCACTCTATTGTTTTCTCTCACCAATCGTCATCATTCACATATCCCGAATACTCATGGTCTTTGGGGCAACACTGCGATTGAGATACATCTGCATTCGATACATGGATGACAATTTCAGATTTGTATCCAGCAGCTTTACTCGCCGATCCATGCACTGTCCCAAAGATAATGTAAGGAGCTGGGTGCGATTTTCCAATTACCGTATAGAATCCAGAAACATCCGTACTTGGGCTAAATTAATTAAGAATTTGAAAAACTTCGATTTAGGAAGTGATTAAAAGACGTGGTGAAGCATGATGGCGTGGAGAGTTGTTTATAAACGTGCCCATCTTACAAATTTACTCAGTTCTATAACAACCCGTAATCACTGTTTAATGAGTTCATTCCTTAGACATTTGTGTATATTTGCATACCTATGAAACAATGCATCTTTTTAGTTTTTAGATTCTAACCGCTTAATACCGCTTTGAACTTTGTCAGGACATGCATAAGATGTCATGTTAAACTTTGCTCTTGCTTGATATACGTGTAATATTTTAGTGCATCACAAAATTTGAGACCGTGTTTATTATAGTTAAATAGATAGAACTAATTAGATAGCTGCATGAAGCAAAATGTTTTTCTTAGCATAACTTGTTCAACTCAAATGTACTTTTATTCCTTTTTTTGGTCAAAGGCCAAACAATAAATGCAAAATTATAGAGGACTTACTC